TAAGAGGTCATGCCGACAGCCAAATTTTTACTTTGTTTTTCTTCTTACCATTTTTCTTTAAGCATACACAGACACACACGACCATTTTATTCTTACTGAGTTATGATACATGCACAGCTTGATTAATTTTTATATATGTATACACCTGTGTAGCCATTATGCAGACCCAGATATAGAATACTTCCAGACTACCCCCGAAGACTGGCCCTACTATTTCGAGAGGACATAGAAAGTCTGCAGAATCTGGCAGATGGACTGTTCACCACCTGCCATGGTATTCTCTACCTGCATTGTTGTGTCATGAAATAAATCATTAGATGTGATTTTCTCATCTCTCTTGCCACTATTCATGAAGTTATCACATATGCTTTTTTCTTCCTTTGGAAAATATATGCCTCATTTTTCTTTTATGTCCCCAGATGTTAGCTCTATAAGCCCACTCCACACTGGCTTTTAAGGCCAAGGACTGGGTCTGTCTTCCTTATCCCCTGTGCCTGCGACCCTTATATGCTTATGGACATTTGTTGAAGGAATGCTGAATAGATACATGACTTTGTTGGGGGTGACGGTATAAAAAACAAGAGGAGACATGCTCCTGACTTCAGAAAGTTTTCTATGACGTAGATGGGTTGGGGAGGGTTTGGTAGAGGGACACTCCAAATACCAGGAGCGCCTTGTGAGTAATTATAAAACAAAATATCATCAGGTCAAAATGATTTTCTATTGACTCAAGCGTCAATAGAATAAAACCTTTCAGGGCACAGAGGAAGCAGAGTGAAGAGGCCATCAGAGTGAGCCCCTGGTTAACAACAGTGGGCTCCTGGATGAGGAACTTGGGTCTTGAGAGGGGCAAGGAGAGTAGGGGAGAGAGAATCCCAGATTAGTGGAAAGATTTGAACAAAGCCTTCAGGGCAAATATCTAGCCAGTCTTGTGAAGCGAAGAACAGGCACATTATCTGAGCTGGGAACAGGCAGGTTTGAGGAGAAATAAGAAAGGAAGGAGAGACATTCAAATAAAGCCAGTTGTTGGAGATCTAAGGTAATCAGCGAAACTTTTTACTGGGTCACTAGATGGCACTGCCAACAGCACCTGTGGAAGCTTGTTCTGGCCATCACGGGGAGGGCAGAGAGAAAGGCTGAATGCAGGTACACTGATTGGGAGCTGCTTCCACAGTCCAGATGTGAGCCTGGTTGTGGGGGGTTAGCAGTGGTGATCATGAGGAAGAGATGCCCCAAGCCTTCAGCAGGTAAAGAAAGTCAGGTGTTCAACATCCACAGAGGATACAGGTGTTAGTCCCTGAAATGGGAAATTAGGGACTGGGTGACCACCTGAGGGGAGAAACTGATGGTTTCAACTTGATGTTCTGTTTGGGGTTGGGTGCGTTTTTGTTTTTTTTTTAAGATTTTATTTATTTATTCATGAGAGACAGAGAGAGAGAGGCAGAGGGAGGAGCAGGCTCCCAAGGAGCAGGGAGCCCGATGCGGGACTCGATCCCAGGACCCTGGGATCATGACCTGAGCCGAAGGCAGACGCTCAACCATCTGAGCCACCCAGGCACCCTGGGTGCGTTTTAAGTCTGGTATTTGGGCAGTACCAAACTCACCTTTGGATTGTGAGAAAGGAAAGAGAAGGGAAAAGGTGGATAATCCCATTCCATTCTCTGGCCTAGGATATCTCGAATCAGTAAGGCTCACTACTACCTAAAGTTGAGACTGTTTTACACACACTTGTTGTCTTCTAGATACATTTAATGTATTTATACATGTGCCCTCCAGAAGTATGAAAGGGACAATTAGGGTAAGCCTGGAGAAACTGGAGGGGGCCACCACTTTTGGGTCAGGTAAAAGGAGACTTGCAGCTCAAGGGTCTGGCTGAGCCCGGGTCTACAAACACTTGATCATCCCTGATTTGGAGCCAATAGAGGAAAGCACTAACACGTCTCACAATCACATTATCAGACCTTAACAACACCAAAAGCTAGACAGCAGGACGATCCTGTCTTTTTAAAAGGTGCCAGATGATTAACAACTGTGTTTATGTCTTATTTGTAGATATGTCAGCACTGGTAGACACAATCAGAACACATTCTTCAGGGTAGGAACTGATCACAGGCTAGAATTTATAAAATCCTGGCATGCCATGGACAGCAATTATGTCTTAGTTGTCCAGGGGCAGAACTGGCCTTGTCTTTTCCCTGAATTACCAAATCCTGAGCATTACCAGAGGCAGAGTAGCAGAACTGAAGGGGCAATAATAAGGTCTGGCCTGACCCTTCTTAGACAGAATAGGAGAATGTGCTCTACCTCCTAGGCCCCTAACCAGCGGACTGTGTATATGAAAATAATATAGCCCAATCAGGCCGCCCCAGGCTCTGGAGGGTACATAGTGTTCTTAAGGCAGCAAGGAAGTGAACATAGGAGCTAGCAGGCCTTTTCTGCCAGGAACTTCTCCAGTAAATTGTTCAGGTAATTTATGTCACTGAGCTATACAATTTGTCATCTTCCAGAGAGCAAACCACAAAACATGCACATACAAAACAAAACAAAACCAACCAACCAAACAAACAAAAAAAAAATGAAAAAATAAAGAAGAAGAAAGAAAAGAAATAAAATAATTGAATTAGAGCATGAAATAATATTCTCTGCAATGTGGGATTTTTTTTTTGAGAGAGAGAGAGAGAGTGTGTACCTGCTTGTGAGTAGGGGGAGGGGCAGAGGAAGAGAGAAAGAGAGAATCACAAACAGACTCCCCCTGAGTGTGGAGCCCAACATAGGGCTCTGTCTCATCACCCTGAGACCATGACCTGAGCTGAAATCAAGAGTTGGACGCTTGACCAAATGAGCCACCGAGGTGCCCCCTGCAATATGGGAATTTAAATGCAGTTTACCCCTATGTTCTATTTGTGCCCATTCCAGGGATGTTAAAAAAGAAAAATCTTTTATTGTCACTAAGATCTGATTAATGCATTTTAAATTTGGACATGGTGTTTCATTTTTCTTTTTTTTATTTAATTTTATTTTATTATGTTATGTTAGTCACCATACAGTATATCATTACATGGTCTTTCATTTTTCTTTTCTTCCTTTCTTTTTCTTTTCTTTTCTTTCTCTCTTTGGTTATTCCATAGAACATATAAATGGTTCACATAGTGAAGAGTTGTTGCTTTCCCATATTACACCAGAGCCAGGCACTCATTTTCATATTGAAAGCTAGTGTGTTCAATGTTATTGGTTAAATGGCAGTAGTAAGTTGCATCCGCAATGGATTCTGAATCTTGCATTTTAACCCGAGACATGCAACATAGAAACTTGAAAAAATATTAATCATTTCAGGTATACTTTGTCTTGTATTAGTCAATTTTCCACCTAGTCAAAAATTCTGTTCCAGTTGAAACAATATTGTTGTGGGGATTGGCAAAACTATGGCAGACACAAGAGGAAATCCAGTGAAGTCTCTTAAATTAGAAGTAGTATAACTAAAGTTGGAATTGGCTCTAAGAAATGTTGAAAAGAGGCAAAGGAGGCCTTTATGCTTCTCTCTTCTCAGCAAGCATCATTTCCAGGACCTCCATTCATTTTCACATTGTCTCAGTCTTGACCATGTGCATGCTATCTAACTCTGATGATCAGAGCATGAAATTAAGGCATTTCTCTCCAACGTTGGAAGAGGAGCCAGCTACCATCCTTTTGCTGGAAGGCAAGAAAATAATCTTGATCCATATGGGTGGCTCATCTGTGATTTGTAATAAGCCAAGTGTTGTTAACCATGGCACGGGAAAGAAACAGCTTAAAATAAGCTTGGGGTTCATTTTCCAAAGATACTCTCGATGTTATTATGTAATATATGTGCAGTAGTGACCAGAAAAAAAACAGTATGTCATCATGTAGGACTGTGAAAAATTGAGTGGAGCTATGGGGAAATGGAGCCTTGAAATGAAGAAATGGCCACCATGGGGGCTGGGAGCATGCAGAACAAGAACTACACTTCAGAGGTGTTAGGATAAAGAATGAAAGGCAAGGAAAAAGTGATCGGTAGACTATGTTCAGAGGATCGTTAGCAGAGAAGAATTAAAAGATAAATCATAATGCCTGGTTGCCCATCAGGATACTATTATGGTCTCTGTTTGCAACAACAGAGGATCATTGATGATAATAGTGACAACAAAACACACGTGTGTCCATTCAGTAGACACATACTCTGTCATTTTTTGCCCCCAGGGATCTGTCTTTGTTTCCTCCTTCTGTAGGGAGATTCTTAAGTTAAGGTGGGGAGGAATGCATCCCCCCAAGCTTGAAGCTGCAAGAAGTATTTTCTTGCTTGGCTATTCTTAACATTCTTTGTATTGTCCTGGAATTTGTTTGGGGTAGCTAGACTGGGTAGGAGTGCATCACTTCTTAAGGCCAGGAATTCCCCCACAAACAGAGTTGGCCAGGGTCAACTTATGCAAGTCTATTGTGCCTTGGGCTCTAAGTGTTCAACAAGTGAAAACATACTAAAAATACCACTGCAACTAAGAATAGTAAAAAATAAGTGACCAAACCCACTTTACAGTATGCAAGTTTGTTAGGGAAAATAACTGAGCAGCAGGTTTCAATGCTTGCCTGTAAAGTTAAGGTGGGGAGGAATGTTCTAGATTATTGTTCACCAGAAGGGCCCATGAGGATATTAAAAGTAATTCAGAGATACTCAAAAACCCATGTGAGAATACAGAGTAGCTTCTGACCTCAGCATAGGTCAAGAAGTTCATGAGCTCTAACCCCAAACTGCTCAATACACAGCTGTTCTGACTCCCCAAATTCATCCTACCCCCCCATACCAGCCTCATCCACAGTCACACATTCTTTCATTGACTCATCTAACAAATATTTATTGTGCCTCCGGTATGAGCTAGGCACTCTGCTATGCTTTGAGGGTGTAAAGATGAAAAGACACAGAATCAAGGGTGGGAGGGACATGTAAATCAACAAGGTGTAGTGTGATAGCACGCCCTGATGGCGATATGCCCAAGGAGACCACACAGGTGGGGGGCACCTACCTCAGCCTGGAGGCAGCAGGGGAGCTGGGGAATCACATTCCACATAAGAATGAACACAACACTTTAAGATCAAGAATTTCAGGAGCACAAAGTATGTGTGGAGGAGCCACAGGAGATGGTGCTGTCTAGGTTAGCAGGTCTTAAAGACTCCCATGCCTCCAAATGTGGCCTCATTAACTCCATGCTTGAAATAGTCTCATCTCTAATGGCAGTGAATTAAGACTCAGTGAATACTGAAATATTTCTTTGAAGAAGTATGATACTTGGCCATCGGCATCTTAGTTTAAATTAGCAAGCCCAGAGAAAATAAAACGTTGGACAAGAAAATGTTGAGGGAGAATAAAAGAAAGTCAAGAAGAGTCTAGGCATCAAAGGTTTACCATGGACCAATTTAGTAGGGCGTCTCAAATCCAGGGAGATGGTCCTAGAAGCTTGAAGAAATCTGTACCCACAGAGAAAGGGAGAAAATAATAAGAGAGCAACTAGGTCCTTAACCAGTGTCATTGTTTGGCAGCTCAGTTAGATAGATGTCTTGGCACTAGAAAGCCCTTGCCATCACCAGGCTGCTGAGGTGAAGCGCTCTTCCAACATCCCCCGCCCCCATTTTGGGATGCTGGAACAGAAGGTCAAAGTCATCAGATAGTCTTTCCTCATTCCCCCTTGCCAAGCAAACAGTCCTAAAGCAGTGCTTCTGACATTTCAAGGGGGCATAGGGACCACTTGGGGGATCAGGTCAAAATGCAGATTCTACTTCCATAGCCCTGGGGGAGGGGAGCCTAAGCATTTGCATTTCTCCCAGTCTCCCAAGTGGTGACAAGGCTGCTGGTCCAAAGACCAGGCTTGGAGTCACCAGGGGCTGGAAGTCCACTCTCCTGGGCATCTCTCACATCTGGTCTCTTGACTTTGCAAACTCCATAAGACTTAGTTCGGGCCCTCCGTGTCTCTCCTCTGCACAACTGGTTCTAGGCTGGATCCATTCTCCACACAGCCCAAGGGCGATGATTTAAAAAGTGAATATAGTCATGTATATCCCTGCTTCAGTCCCTTCAAAATATTCCTCTTTGCCGAAGAAGTTATTTTAAAATTTTATTTTTTAGTTGAACTCTTAATGCAAACTTTCCTGAAATTCAAGATTTAAAATGTATGCAAGTGACACTGCTCTGGCCAAAACCAAGGAGAAAGGCCTCGATTCTCTATTGCTTACTCAGCTTCCCATTTCCTGGTAGCAGCTCCGAGATACTTCCAGAATCCCGGATCCTGATGAACCAGGGGTCTAACAATGAAGTCCAGAAGCCTTTTCAGGTTGAAACCATTATGTACCTTTAGAGAGGTTACTCTCATTTTTTTACTCCTTGAGGAAATGAATATAAAACTGCCTCCTCAGAGAGTTGTTTTACAGATTAAACTAGATTGTGCACACAGCATGCCAGGGACAAAGTAGACACTCAATAAATGCTTGTTCCATTTTCTCTCAAAACTTTACAGTTAGATATGTTTTCCTTTGGCTGAAACTTCTTTCTCCCAGTAAGGATAGTAATCATGCCAATATCATTGGAAGAGGTAACAACATATGGCCTTTGTAGTGTGAATGGACTTGGTTTAGGCTCTATTCCTGTGAGTGGGCTTTGATTGGGGTTGGGTACTGCTCGAAAGATCCCTGAGCAGCTGCAGAGAGGGGGTGGAGAACTGGCCAGAAGAGTCAACAGATGCACAAAGTATGGAGCTTAGGCCAGAGGAAAGGGTGAGCCAGTTTCCCAAGAGTGTTTATCACTGGTACACTGGCTTTCATATCACTTAGCACCGAATGCTTAGAAATTCTGAGCAAGTGGCCACTACCTAGATAAGGATATTTGCTCGTATGTGCAAGGTGCCTTGTACACTGGCGGGCATCGAGCTTCCTAGGAAAGAGTTCGGTCCTGATTTTGTCTCTCAGACTGCACGTGACAGTCACAGCTGGGGATAAAGCATGACCTCTGACACTGCTCTGTGGGCGCAGAGCACAGAGTGCTGAAGCTCTCACTCTTCGAGGGCAAGTGGGGGGCAGATGTCCCACTTTTGTTCTTCCCTTGTCCACATCTCTCTCTGCCTTTCGTCCCCTAGCCACTCTCCCTGCCTCCCAGAGTCCACAAGGTATCCGCCTCAAGAGAACTCTCAACTGATGGCCTCAGCCGATGGACTGTGGACACCTTTCTGGAATCATTCTTCTCCCTGCTCTCCACAATAAGCAGGTGGCACGACAGGTTGCACGGTGCCCTCAGGCAGCACAGAGGAAAGTTCCAAAATGTACGTGAACAGGCTGCTTGCTTTCACCAAATGGGACAGCTCTATGTGAAACCCGAACCTTGTTGCCCAAAGGATTTTAGCTGCTTGAGGTTCCTGGCTTGAGATCAGGAAGCCAGACTGGGGACGGAGCGCTCTCCCTGCCCTCTGGTGCAAAGCATTTCCTCCTCAGGAAACTGGGTCAGTCCCAGTGTGGGGCCATGGCACCATTGGTGGGTTCCCGGGAGCCCCCCCAAGGAGAACAGCCTCCGAAGGTCTTATCAAGCTGTGGCATCTCAAAGCCCCCTGCAATGTTATGCACATAAAACGATAATCTACCCCACAGAGTTAATAATTACTTACAATCCGTGAAAAGCCAAACACATCCCCAGCTCCAGTCAACACCAGGGAGGCGGTGGAAATACCAGCTGGCTGGTAAAGCAGGTGAGAGGCAGACAAATAAGGGCAAAGGAAAGCATCCACCCAAATCCGCAGACTCTCAAGGTAATGAGTGCCAGGAAGGTTGAATTCATCCCACAGATCCTCATGCAGTCTCACGCAATCTCTCTGCCCCACTGGGAGTGTGTTAGCAGGTACAATCGGCGCAGGGACAAGAACTGTGACCAAATGTATCTTTGCATACAATGGGTCTGATTGCAGCGATGCCCCCAGAAATGCCCACCAGAAGAAGCTGGCTGTCTCACTAGCCTCTTGCAAATACACTGAAATCAGAAAACCTGCACAGAGAAAATATGCCAGGTAAGGAGTAAATGTCAGCAGACCTTCCTGATACTCTCCTTACCCTTGCTTCTCACAACTCACCCCAGGGGAGGGGGGGTGATGTCTAAGGCAATGCCTCCAATAATTCGAATCATGCCAACTCTTTCTCAAGAGCACTGCTTTTGAATAAAATGATAGGAAGCATGGAACTTGACATTTTAACCAAAAACCGTCTGGATGACCTCCGCAAGGTTTCTGGTTTGGAAGTTAACTGTCACAATTTCCCAAAGAGTAGCCTGTTCTGTTCCGGGGAGCTGCAACCCCTTACTGTGCTGGATAATGCAATCTTGTAAAGGTCCATCCTTTAAAAATGCTTCTCATGCGCTCTCCCACCAACAACATACTATCTGTGAACAAGGCTACGTGGGGAGGTGTTAGTCTCATGTTGTAGCCGAGGAAGGCAAAACACGAAGACAGTAAATAGCCTGAGCATAGTTCTCTTGGTCCTTGGCCTTGTGTCTGCCTCTGTTCGGGCTGCTAGGATTTCATTCAAAGCAAGGTAGGAAAACACAGGGTGTCACCGAACACAAGGAATCCAAAACCCTGACTCGAGCCAGCACAAGAGTTTGGACCTCACCAGGCAAACCGTTTGTCAGGAGCAACACTGTGGGGATTTGGAAAATACCAGTGAAACGTGGAGAAGGAAAATAATGCTTTTACCTTCCCCTTTTGGTTTTGCTAACTTTTCAGCAGAAAGGGACTTCAGAAAACCCCAAGTTATGCAATGAAGAGGCTTCCATTTCATTAACTCAGTTAACAGAAACACAGACGAGCTATTCCTCTGTGTACTTTTTTTTTTTTTTAAGTAAGGAGCCAATGTCAGAAGAAAGAAGTTTTTGGAAGCATTGGGAAGAATGTAAGGAATAAGGTAGTACATTCGAAATTATTTTGTAAATCGCAAAGAATAATTGCTGAAGAAAATCAGATTTGAGAGCTTTCTGCTGGCATGAAGTGTTATCATAAAACGAAATAATAGCTCGTAACTTTTTTTATGTTAATCTCCATACATTACATCACTAGTTTTTGTCATAACTTTTTTCTTAGTAGCTCCACCCAACCATGCTTTTCAAGCTTGGAGGCTTTCAACCAAGGATCTCAGTTCCACCCAGCCTCAAGGGGGTCAGAATCTCACCTCCACCAAACAAACACTGCCCCAAAACCTCACCTGTACAAAGTTGTATTGATCATAGCAGACTCTCGCTGGATGCTAACTGGATGCTATCATGTATGAGATTCATTTGTTCCTTGACTGACGCACTGCTGGGCACAGAGAAAACCACCATTCCCAGGGTGGTTCTAAGAAGCAGGGAGGAAATGATTCTCTTCTTGCTCTTGCAAGTTTGGGAAAGACCCTTGAGTCAGAACCAGGGAGCTTCACTGCCTGTTACTGTAAAAAGGTGTAAAAGAGTCCTTTCTAAGCACTTTGTTATGCACGGAAGGAAGTTGATACTGTGGGAAGGGAAAGGCTTAGAGTTGTATTTGTAAGGTTACCTGTAAAGGTGGTTGAGGGTCCATCTCCTGATACTCACTCGATGTAATTTACACAGAAACGCTTCATTCATTTGTACCACTGGAGAGTGACGCAGTCCCCATAAGTGGAATTCCCAGACAACTGAAATGTGTTCCCTGGAGCACTCACATTTCTATATTATAATCATTTTCATGGTATTTTTTCTGACGTCTATTGCACATGTCCCTGCCTTATTAAACAGAGTCCAGCAAACTGAGTAGCCTTTACATGATGGCTATTAAAATGATGGTGTCACTGCAACAATGAAAATGTTTGCTCCACTGGAAAGAAATGCGCCTGGGGCTAAAGGGGATTATGAGAACTTTTGTCTCTCTCTCTTCTTCTGTTGCTGCAGGTGGTTGTGCCTTTTACATTCTCCCTCTCACCTGCTTGCTATGGAGTTGGATCTTGCCCTCACTCTGAGCTGTTACTTTTCATCTGCCCTGGGCTGGTCATGGAGAACGCTAGGCTTGTCTCAGTTGTGTTTAACATGAGCAGATCAGCCTCCAAATAAAGGACTGGGTAACTGAATATGTGCCAACAATGTCTACAGCACAGATGCAATGGCATTGACTTTATACGTTTGGAAATGTTCTTATTCCCAGTTCTTTTAGATGTCATCGAGGTTACCAGACAAGACACCTCAGGATGAATGAGATGGTCCTTGCATTCCCACTGGTGAGATTGGTAGAACCGGTTATTTAACAAGCCAGAGTGGAAGTCACAGGAAGTTTATGAGTCCCAGGTATAATCATAGATCAGGATTGGGATATTCAGCTGGTGTTTGGAGAACCTGAGGTCCACAAGCCATCCCTCTGGGTTTCCTGACCACTGGAAGGGGAGTGGTAAAGGAGGTGGCCCCCAAGACGACATCCGGCTGCCAGAGCTCAGGGCCATTCTCACTGTGGGGTGGAGACCAGAGTGGTAGAAATTTAGTCTGCATTTCCTTAGGTTTAAAGGGGAGAGGAAATAAAATACAAAGCATGTCACTCCTGTATTTGAAAACAAAAACAAAAACAAAAACAAAAACAAAAACAAAAGCAACCAACAACAGGGCTTGGCAGCTTCAGGATAAAGTCCAAACTCATTAGACAACTTGTGGTCTAGCCCATTCCCAGGGCCCCCTTTTCATCACTCCCCCAACTAAATGATGCCTGCCCCCCTCTCATGAACACCCTCTTAGCTCACCACCAGCCCCTTCCTCTGTGCCTCAGACGTCACCTGTGGTGATGAGTTCCTCCTCTGGGGTCATAGGCTCATGCAACCTGTGACTGTGGGTCACATCTTGCCCTCAGATTTTTTTTAAGATGTTTATTTATTTATTTATTTGAGAGAGAGAGAGAGAGCTCACAAGAGAGAGCATAAGCTGGGCCGGGGAGGGGGTGGGTGGAGGGAGAGGGAGAAGCAGTCTCCCCACTGAACAGGGAGCCCAATGTGGGACTCTATCCCAGTACCCCAGGATCATGACCTGAGCTGAACAGAAGCTTAACCGACTGAGCCACCCAGGTGCCCCTCATCCTGCCCTCAGATTGCACCTTTACTCAGCTGGACCCCTGGACTGTGAGGGCTTGAGGACCGACACAGCTTCTCACTCATTTTAGCGACTGTGGCACCCAGCCCCATGCCTGCTCCATAGATGCTTGATCAGTGTGGACTGAATGAAGGCAGGGATGCACATTTTCACGCAGGAAAGCAGCCCCAGAGAAATGTCTGGAATGAAGCCGGGCAGCCTTCACAGCTTGATCCTGGTGACAGTGGCGGGGAGGGGAGAGAGGGCGGAAGCTGGGGCTGATTGGTTGCAGATCACTCATGTGCCTCAGGCCCTCTTGGTGTCAGGAGCCAGGAGGGAATGGACAGGACACTCCTCCTGTGTGTGTGAGAAAGGGAAGAGTGTTTTGTCCATGAGCTCCCCTGAGTCACTCCAGAGTCCCTGCCGGTCCTCACTCTAAGGGCTGGCCCTGCGATTGGCTTTGCCATCCCATTGGTGGTCAGGGTGGGAAATGGTTTAGTTTAAGAAAAATGTTGCTAGCTGCAGAGCCTTTTCAAATGTTGCCGACAGTCTCCCTCAGACAAAGCATTTCTGATTCAGGCTGGCTGCCTTTGGGTTAACCATATAGGAATTTTGAGTCAACATTTTTGTTGTTCTTTGTGGTGTTAATTGATTTAATTTATTCAACTGAGGTACAACTTAGATACGGTGAAAATTCAAATTCTTTTGTTACAATTCAGTGGGCTTTGACAAATGGATACACCAGTGTAACCTCTACCCCTCATATTTCTGTCACCCTAGAAAGTTCCTTCCTGCTCCATTCTAATCAATCTCCACTGTAGGGCAATTTTGAAAAAGGAAAAAAACTAGAATGTTGGCTCTCATGGAGCTTGCATGATAAAAGCAGGCTGCGTTATGTGACTAAAGTAATTGCAAATCAACACTGTAAATAACATGATCCAGTACTAAATGGAATGGTTCAGTTTGCTACCAGGACGTGAATTTAAGGAAGCGAAATGCGTTAAAATGTCACCTTGGGAGTTTGTTAACAATGCAGATACCTGGGCCAAACCCAGTGCCATTAAATTGGAATTCCTTGGCATGAGATCCAGGAACATACATTTTAAACAAATGTCCCCAGGAATTCTGATACGGAGTGGGGGCAGAGGTTGGCACAAACCACGCTTTGGAAAACATATGTTCAGTTATGGTTGGACAGAGATCATTATTGATAGATGAGGAAACCAAGGGCCAGAGACGTTGAGGGGCTCATTCAAGATCACACAGTAAATTCATGGCACGGCCTGCATTTCTGGGAGAGGCATTGGCAAGGACAGGAACACGGTTGTTTACACTGGCCGACTGTGGGGTGTCCACAGCCCGGGGCCTAGCCCCAGGGCACAGCGTCTCCAGGACAACACCCTGCTTCAAAAGCTCTGGGGCCTCTGTGTGTGAGAGAGAGAATGAGGAAGCACCCACTTACCCCTCCAGCCTCCAGACATTAACAGACCCAGAGCCTTGAGGACTCATTGGAGACACAAAATGTGTACCCCCCCCTAATTATTCCCCTGTCTTGACAGTGAATTTCAGGGACTGAGCTACTCCACAGGAGGACGGCAGGCTCTCCACTGGGCTGACAGAGAAAGATTGGCCTCCACAGCATTAAGCCCAGGAGAATGTCTCCTCCCCATTCCCCAAATAAACAAGGTAATCAGGTGTCAGGACGGCTGACACCATTGATAAATGACCAGGATGAGGCACATCCAGCCATCCAGCCTCCTCAGCAGCTCCACTGCCACATAGGCAGCCTTTTGGTGGCACCTCAAGTAGAACTGTTGTTTCTTTCCCCACCTAGACAAACCCAAACAGCTGATAGATCACTGGAATGAACTGCCTTCCTGATGAACCTTTGATCTTTCCAAGTATCAATTTATCTCTGATGAGTGGGCCTCCCACTGATGAGGCTGTGGAGAGAGGCAGGAAGTCAACATTCTCCAGAAAAGAACAGGGTCTCGTAGCCCTCTGTTCCTCTCCCCTCAATGAAAGGTAAAACTGAATGACCAGAGTCCTCAGACCTGCTTGGAACTGGTGCCAAGATCAGAATCCAAGGGGAGACAGGACTTGAGAGTGACCAGGAGGCCTTGCCTGGGCAAGAACCATGACTTGCATCACAGACATTTCCCATGGCAATGTGGAAGGCCCTCCAGCCTCCAGCTTCTATGCAGCCGCTCTTGCAGTCCCTAACGAGTTTTGTCAACTCCCAGTAAGGATAAGTGAGATGGAATTGCATGCTGAGGTCCCCAGATTCAGCCTAGTAGTGCTTGGGAGCCCACTGTGAGAAGAGACAGACAGTCAGGGGTCTCCAGTCCCTGTTGGGGTCCCTGGGCAAGTCACATCATCTTCTGGGCTTCAGTTTTCTTATTCCTCAAATGAAGGGTTTGAATGAAGTTGCCATTTGGCTCACTTCTGGAATCGTGAGTTACAATCCACCCCTCCCAAGCCAAGGACCTTGACTTTGTTTTGTTCCCTCTTGGGTACAGATACATTGAGCACACAACCAAGAAGGGCAAAGGTCTAGCAGTCATTCCAGATAGAAGGGTAGATACCCGTTTGTGAGATTCTTAATCTTAAAGTTCTTACCTTTTTATCTTTGCATCCTTAGGACAAAATACCTGTCAATACATACTTGAAAAAATGGTTGTGCCACCTATCGGAGAATTAGGGTTCCATGTGGTCTATTCTTGACTTGCCAGTCTACTCAGAGAACCACTGCATAACCATCGATAAAGATGGAAAAGTAATTGCAATTATTACTGAATCCCTCGAGATACTGGCAAGGAGGGAGGTCTAATTCACAACCCTGAGAAATTCTCCTTAAAACTCCCATCCTCTTCTCGCCATCTCCCTTCCACAACCTGCTGCTGCTCAGGAAACTCTTACCCTTGATCCCCCTCGTGAAACTGTTCCTGCCCTCTGCAAAGACATGGCCTCCTCTGGTCCCAGCTTTCTAGGCTCCTTCTCCCTTCCTCCCTTACTTCTCTCTCTTTCTTTCTCTCTTTCTCTCTCTCTCTCTTTCTTTCTTTTTCTTTCTTTCTTTCTTTCTTTTTCTTTCTTTCTTTCTTTCTTTCTTTCTTTCTTTCTTTCTTTCTTTCTTTCTTTCATTTTCTAGAGAGAGAACATGTGCATGAGTGGGGGTGGGGAGGTAGCGGGAGAAGGAGAGAGAATCTCAAGCAGACTCCATGCTCAGCACGGAGCCTGAGGTGGAGCTTGATCCCAGGACCCTGAGATCACGATCTGAGCTGAAATCAAGAGTCGGACACTTAATCTACTGAGCCACCCAGGTCCCCAGCTTCTAAATAGCAACCTTAAGATCCATCATTCTAAATATACACCTTCATTGCTTTAATTCTCAGAGACTTACAGGTTTCGTTCAGTCCATTAACAATGGAAGCAATGGGCCAGTCCCCTCTGTGTGACCCTGCTTCGTTTAAAGAGGGCAGGCCTGGGCGAGGAAGGACGACACCATGATTCAGCCAGAAGGGGCAAAAGAAAAAAAAGAGTGGGCTTGGGAAAGTTTTTACCACTGTTTGTTTCAGCTCATTTCTCCTTCTTTAAGTGGAGATCACTAGAACTCTTGTGAGTTTTCAGTGAAATAGTAAAATGCAAAAATTCAGCAAAAGTCTTGGCCCATAGCAAGGATCTAATAAATATTAGTCATTATTCTTAATACTATTGTTGCTCTTAATTCTCCAATGTTCCTTTGAGTCCAAATGGCCCGTGAATCTCTAGGTGTTGTCTGAATCCCACTGGAAGCTACCTACCCGAGTAAAATGTGCACCGGCAAAGGGAGTTTACCTGAGACAGTGTCTGGAATGGAAGAGGTCTCATCAAGGGCTTTCTTGATTAAATAATTCATCAATTCTAATTGGGAAGAGAAAAATATATGGAATAGAACTACACAAGAGGAAATAAACATTCAACACTAAATTAGTACTGGGGCCATTCCACGTGTCAGAAGGCAAATTGTCCCCCAGGACAGCCCTTATCAGCTGACAATTGACACACCCCACAACCCTGCTGAGGTGAAGGGTGTGGGTCGAAGGTCCTGACACAAACCCTAGGTTCTTCCCTGCTGTGCTGGGAGCCCTCTTTATGGCCTTCGGCAGAGTAGGTGAAATTTGGTTGCCGGCAATAGCTTCAAGGACTAGTTCTGGATTCTTCCAGGTTTAAGGCCAACGGGGCTATATGACTGCAGAAGCCATTTGTGGTGAGTTCTTCACTTCCAGCTGCTTCTCTGTTTGCTCTTTCGTCATGGCTACTAGTAAAAACTCCTCTGTTTGTCCGTAGGTATGTGAGATCATGTCAGCTCTCAGCCAGGCTCTGCCCTGAAGGACTTTGCAAGGAAATGGGTCATTGGACCACTCCTGAGCCACCTGGAGCGTCTGGACGTGCGTGGCCCTTCCTTGTTCCTGCCCAAATAAGCAAAAACAGAAGAAACAAACAAATAAGGAACTTTCGAAAGCAGCAAAGACTGAAAGCCTATGACAGTGGGGCAGTTGGAAAATCCGGGCTGTGGAGAAAAATGAAAGCCTTGCTTCGACTGCAGAATAAGACAGATTACCTCCTATGGGATTGGCACCAGCTCACACCATCTCCTCCGGGCTCTCTTGCAGCCTAGGGAAAACCCTGGAAATCCAGAGGATGTGCTCTTTCATTGTGAATGCAGTGTTTTAAGGAGCCTGGAAGGACTCTGATAAAAACCTACTATCCCTCTTTGTTGAATTATCAAATTTTTATTGTTAGGACATACCCGGCCTAGTGAAGAGGAAAAGGCTTGGGATCTGTAGAGTTTTGGCTGTGTCACTGTTGGATTTACTAGTTCTGTGAGCTGTGGCAGATGATTTAAGTTCTTGTAGGTTCTCTTTCATTACCTGTAAATAATAATAAATTAAAACAATCATAATACTGGGTAATACAGGGCTATTGTGCACATTGACTCTGAGAGAACAGATGACAGCGTCTGGCTCAGGATAACCCTCAATAAAAGTCACCTGTCAATCACCAATGAACAAACTGACCATTTCAGGATAGCCCTTCACCTCGAATGCCCCTAGACCTCCAAGAACATTTCGGTTGGACTTCACATGTGGCCTTCCAGAAAGGAAGAAAACCAGCAGCCTGTCAGCATACAGTGATCCAGTTTCTGTGGTCAGGTAAACAAGTTAGTCCCTGAAAACATGATGTCTGATCTGGGAGCTTTCTGGTTGCTGTTTGAAACTATGGGGATAATATAGTCATTGTCATAGGAATAAACTTACTAATCCAGACAGATATGTGCAGCCTCTAGGGTTTTATTATTCACTTTCAAATAACTGGGAACACCTGAACCTTTAAATATATAATAAGAAGAAGGAGAATCCAGAGGCTGGAATTTTCCTTGATCTACTTTATGGACACTTGATGGTAAATCTTGTGCTTCAGACTCTAGATGTATCAGATTCCAATATACAAGAAGCCGAAAAATGAAACATAAAACAAATATGTCTTGAGGTGGGAATTATTTCTCCTAGAGGCCAAATTTGATACTTTGCCTTAAGGAATTAAAAACTAGTTCATGAGAGAATACAACAACCAGCTTATAATTTACCATTTACAATGTCATTCATTCATTCATCATAAAATGAACATTTACTCTATTTCCAGCACCGTGCAGAATGTTGGGAGTATAAAGCTGAATGAGACAGGAATTAGACATGGTTTCTGCCCTCAAGGAGCCTGTGGTGGGGTCAGGGGTATAAAGCTACACACTGCTAGTGGGGTGAATGTGATAAAGTGGGACAAGTGTGTGTGGGTACTCTTGTGACAGTGGAGGGAAGGGGAGGTGCCTTCTAACAGGGACATTAGGAAAGAAAGGCTTAATAATGCATGAAATCACTTTTGATTTGATTCCTAAAGAATGAGTGGAGTTTGTTAGGTGGAAAAGAGAAAAAACAAAAATCCAGGTGGAGAGAACAATGTGAAAGTGTAGTGTTCCATAGATGTCCCAGGTATAGCAATGGTAGATGAAACATAGTATGTGTGTATATGACAGATGGGACACAGGGCTGGGAATATGGGTACCTGAAGTCCCCCGTGAATGCCATGTTAAGAAAGAGGAAGAAACAAATGTTAAACTTAAGAGGAGAGGCGTTAGGTCCAATGAAAGAGGGAGATCTCTCAAGACAAAATTACTGGGACAGTGGGATAAATAAGAGAAAGGACATCTAACACTACAGATCATTCCTTTGTGAGTCCCAGAACCAGAGATAAATCATGCTGTGTGTGCTTTCTCATCCTTTCCTCCACACATGTATTCATGCAACTTTCTGAAGGCCGGTTAGAAATTTAACAAGCACAGGGGCACCTGGGTGGCTCAGTTGGTTAAGCAACGGCCTTTGGCTCAGGTCATGGTCCCAGGGTCCTGGGATTGAGTCACGCATTGGGCTCCCTGCTCCTTGGGGAGCCTGCTTCTCCCTCTCCCTCTGCCTGCCGCTCCCCCTCCTTGTGCTCTTTCTCTGTCAAATAAATAAATAAAATCTTTAAAAAAAA